CATTGGTACCTCGGAAGAACTTGGGATAGGGTTGATTTGAGCGGGATCCGAACCACAAATATAGTGAGTCAATGTAAAGGGGGGGGGGGACCAGCGGCTACTATAAATCCTGAGGAGCTCCCTGTTTTTTTGAAGGTTGAATCTGGAGCTGAAAGCTTTGCTAGAAATCATCTCGTTGCCTTCACCTAAAGGCACTATTAGCAGCATTCGAGAGCTTCTCCTCTAACCATGAGACCGTCCACTGATCACCTCTATTCGAATTCAGAATGGAAAACAAGAATCTCCAGTACATCTCAAAAAAGCTTTTAGATGGCGCGAACCCACGACTTCCACCATTCGCCTTCAGTGAGGATTCTGAGTCGTCAGATGCAAATGTGGCGGTGAGGAAAGCTGACCTATTTTTTTTATTCAAGCATCTCTACCAGGAACACTTTAGTTAGAAGAATTGCAGACAACAACAGTAGGGCCGTCAGCAATTCTACCACCTGTTAAACAGAACATCGATGATAACAGTAGCACTGGGAAATCCACTGAGATAGACAGTAAATCTGCAGCTGAGGTGCGATTTGTGAAATTTGGAACTAAATTCACTTGAAACAAATAAATATGCTCAAATAATGGAATCGATTAGCAGTTATCGAGGTCTTTTTTAGGATGAAAAATCCAAACAGGAAAACAAGGACAGTACCGGACGATCATCTTCAGTGAGTATCCACAGCTATTTCTGAATTTTTTCATCACATGACAGTTCATTCTGATAGAGTACCAACGCTTTCTCAAACGAACAGGTAGGCTGCTCTCCGTCCCATGAGGACAGAGGGTTGTGCATCTTCCGCCACTACACAGTCTGGACAAAGTAGAAAGCTAGGGCGCTAGGAACTCGCCAGTGCAAGAAACCACGCCTACTCCAGGTATAGACGCCCATTAAGGAAGCGTAACGACTGCATGACGCAGCCATTTTCTCACATGACGTGTTTAGGCATGTTAATATCACCCCCTCCTTGTCTGTTTGACCACCCGGCGCCTCTCTTAGTCCCCATTCATCGCATCGCATGCTGAAAATCAACAGGACGTTGGGCAGGGGTTGGCGTTTCCCCCGCTCTTTTCTTCATTGGTGACTAAGCTGTTTAATGAAATTATGACTGAACCTCACTACTCACGGACTGCTTTCTCTGAATATGTCTTTAAGTTATGTTTCTTGAAGAATGTCATGATTGGTTGCGATTTCACTGATCGCAATGGAACCTCAGGGAAACAAGTTTGCACTGAAGGACCAGCCAGGGCACATCATTGGTTGGGGATTCTCTCCTCTGTATACGACCCCCCCCTTTCCCCGACCATCCTACCCACCCCTTTCCTGGTTTCTCCCAAATTCCTACCATTTTTTCCTGAATTTCCCAGAAATTTTCCCCTTTTCACCCAAAAATTCTGCACCATCCTACCCACCACTTTCCTGGTTTCTCCCACCTTCCTACCACTTTTTCCTGAAGTTCCCAAAAATTATCTCTTTTTCACCCGAAAATTTTGCTGTGAGCGGGGTACATACAGTCCTCACTCCTTCGTAATTACGTACTGTCGGGCCGGTTCAATGCCCCTGCGCTTGGCCGAGGCCAAGTCGGTCGTGCCACCAGTTTTTGAAGCAGGCAAGTGCATTACTGTATTGTATCCTTCGTATTATTCGTTTTCTACCATTTTTTGTCGCATACGCGTTTCAACGAAAAGGCTGAGACTAGCCCCCTCCCGGGTCTGAGCTGGCTGCCTGGGACATCCCAACCAGGCGATCGTGCCTCTGCGTACCAGCGCCAGCTCCAAATTGATGACGGCCTGTCTTGAGGGGCCTGGTGCCCTACGGTCCCCATTCATTACAATCTGTCATATTATGCTTCAGCACAATTTTAAATTCGAACACCAGCTCTTCAGTTCGCATTAAACCCCAAGGTTGTAAATCAAGTCGATGCCGAAGGTCTTGCGTATGGACGGCTACCGTACACGTAACGTCTTTCCCTAGTATTCCGCAATCGTATATGAGGCGCGAGAAAGAAATGTCACGTCTCACACTTTCCACATGACGACTCATTAAGTAATCTAATTATCGCGTCATTACATCACAACAGTCATGATCTGTAAGCGATAGCTGTCTACAGTGGTTCATAAGATACGAGAATCAGGATTGAACGTGCGAATGAAGAGATCCTACTGCAATGAGATTCTGATTAAAACAGATGAGTGGAAAGAACGCGGCGTTGCGAATGTTGCGGGCATTAGGGGTATGATCATTCACGAAGGGGACAGTAATTCACTTGAAGACGAAGTGTACGGTCACCTACAACGACGCTTCTTGCCATATGCGGGGCGTATGGGTTCGTTGCTGCAGTAGCGTGCCACTTACTCTGATCAAACGTGTAACGGGAAGGGGCTGTAGGGTAGTGGGACCCGAGAGCAGATCTCAATGCTAGGTCCTCCGTATCCTCAAGGTGCAGCACTTGGGTCAATCGCAGCAAAACACGCAGCGGTAGAGAACAACTGGAAATGAACGGGCCGACGCCAAGCCCTGACACGCTTCATCATCAGCAGCGAACAAGAGTATAACAAAATTTCAGGAAGGGGTGCCAGATGCGAAACTGATGGAGGAGGAAAACAGCAAAGCCGTGGAATCGCAAGAGGTGAGCTCAGAGCCAACCACCAGAGGAATGGATGCTAACACCGCTCTGTTGAGGCCTAACTTGAAAGCTCTCAGATGGAAATATCCTGGCGAGAGATAAAAAGTCCACCTGCTCCCACCTAGCTCCATATTCCGGAGAGAGGAAAAGGAAAGGTCTGCGTTGTTGTGCTGCAGCGCTTTTGTTTCGAGCGCTGCAGCGGCTTCCTATCTGCGCACAATTTCTGATTGAGGCAGATAGGGGTCAGAAATGCATCCGCCTTTCTCTGGTGCTATCTGAGCTCACTCACTCGCTGCGTGTGTCTGTAACTGAACCGGGAAACCTCGTAGAGTCGCTAAGCCCTCGCCCAAGTTCTTAAATCGCTCTTTCTCTGGATATCTTTCGGTACCTTCGAGCCATAGGTTATGATAGGTCAATAAGAGAGATTCGCTTTTCCTCCTCATACTTACCACTCTCGCCTCCCCAGGTTCATAGTCATTTCTGCAAAGTCACCTACCTCAGGAGTCATCGCTGGAAACGTAAGGAGCGATCCTTTACCTCTATATAGAGATGTTACACAATAATAAAAGCGAAAAGATAAGGTTTCTGGTGGCCTGACGGATATCACGCCCACGGAAAGCGTGAGGTGTGGATTGAAGACCGCTTAGGGTCAATTTTTGACCCCAAGTGGGTCTTGAATCCATACCTCGTGTAAATCAGC